AGTTTGCAGTTGTTCTAGCAGGTTCGTTTTCTTTCCCCATTTCTTACCTGCTTAGTTCTTCCCAGTATTATTAGCGACATAATTTCCTTTCTCAAATAATTGCTCAATCCATCATCATTTTTCTCTTTGCATAATTTTGGTAAGTATGATCTTTATGAGCTGTACTATATCGTCAAATTTACAGTCCAGCATTGATCTATGTCATTTTTTAGTTGTTTCGGTCATGTTCAATACAGTTCAACTAAAATAGTAACATATATGACCTCCCGAACACAACAAAACATCTCTTTTGATTTGCAAGGATATTGTCAATTAAAAAACTAACGTTCGTCCATGCTGGACCACTAATCTACATGTTGCATACTTCTGTCACCCCTTTTGCCATTTCATTTTTATTTGCTTATTGTTTGCTAATTGACATTTAACTCATGCCTTTTCTTTTTATCCTACAATGCCTTCAGTTTGCCAGATATTTCACGTACAATATATCCCAGATTGCCTAAGCACGAGCAAGAATTTAGACGTTCTTAGTTTCAAATAACCACATTGTATTTTCTGATGAGAAGATTGTGAAATATCATTAAATCTCAGAGGTGTCACTATCTAAGAATACTAATGTGTCAAATGTATTCAAGCATTATAGGATTGGTAAAATGGAGAAGTGATTAAAGTACCTGGCCTGGCCTCCCTGTTTGCACAATTTAAAAACAAAAAATCAATTTATCAACTATCTGATCTCTGTGCTTTTGTTTAAAATTCTGTTTTTTGTTCCCTACATATGTAAATATCTGCCGACTTTTGGTTGTAGGTGTGTTCCCAAATTTATGAATTTTGAAACTTTGATTCCACATTGAGGTACCTTCATTACAGTTGATGTGCATTTTTTTATAACACTATAAATTTTTCTACAGCAAGTCTGCCTATCTTGCATTTCATGGTCAAAGCACGTTCATCTTCTCATCCTCGGTCTGTACCTCCACCATTTCTCATATTCAGATCAATTAGTTTACACTCAAATTTCTAAATCTTCGAGCTATGTAATTCGAGCTATGTTTTACATCAGCATAGTTTCGTTAAACTTGGTCACCTTTCAGAGATATGCCATACAAATTGGAACCTGGACAGTGATCTATTGGATGCCAGCTTCCAGGCTGCCTATGTGGCTCAGGATATGGTATGTTCAGTGCTGAAAGATTGTTCGCAAAATTACTTCCTCTTTTACGGCTTTCTACCTCTTTGACGTTTCCTAAAATTTCTTAAAAGGAAATGGTTTTCCATTAATTTTATAACAATCGTTGACTATAGCCTTGAAACACTTCCTCATATTAGTCCCAAACACTATTTATGATACCATCCCCAATCTGTGGAATGTGAACCATGTTTGTACGGAGAAAATTGTGCACCTATATATGGACCGTTTCCTGGTCTTACTCCAATTGTTTGCTTCACCACTCATGTTATTCAATTTCTTGCTTACTTGATGTTAGATGCACCCTGTACCTGTCTGGATAGGTTACTGAATGCAGACATTAGGGTTATAAAGCGTAAAGACAATAGACCTTCTGTGAATATACTTCAAAACCTCCAAATATTCTCAGCTTACACACATATACATACTCCATTCTAATATTTGGTAATTATTGTGATGTCCTCAACTTTACTTACAGTTCATAAATTTTTGTAGCAGGTAGTCAAATGGTCTCTGAGGGCGGGCCTGGTATAAGCGGTAGAGTCTTACCACTTTGTGACCGGAAGGTCCCGGGTTCGAGTCATGATCTCCTCGCATTAGAGTGCAGAGGTAAGGTAAGGCTTGCCACTGACACCTTCCCTGCACCCCACACAGAAGCGGGAGCTTTTACTTGACTGGTACGCCTTTTTTTTAGTCAAATGGTCACGTCGAATACATTTTTAACAAAAATGCCGCTTGCTCCATCTCATTTGCTAAACTGTAACAGATCCCTAACAACGATGTTGTACTAATAGGGGACTCATTCATGCTGGAGATGCATTCAGACATTTGCTTAGAATATGTTATGGATAGGCTAGGCACAGACAACAATATAATTGAAGGAGTTTTTTTCCCCCTTTGGAACAACCACTGTATATTTTATGACTAAAAAGATTACATGATATGATTAAAACCCTAAGTGCCAGTATTTACTTAATTCTAATATATTTATTGCATTCCACTGTTTCAGTGAGCAAAGTTATATAGGTTATACCTTGCTAGCCAGCCAAGAACTGTGCGGGGGTTCCTGCTAGTATTGTTGAAAACTAGTGACTCGTTTTTCGGGCTGCTGTATATGTATGTACGGCCTTTCACCTAGTAATTGGGCATAGCGTTTTTCGTTCGCATGGGCTTTAGTTCGCTAGAAATGCTTGGGGCCATGACTAGATGGGCGCTGGCTAAGAAGGTTGGGCCAATGAAAATTGAGATGGATGTTTCTCGTATTATATTTCTTTTTGTTGGTCCTCTTTTCATCAAAATACCCATTTCATGAAATGTTTCAGGCTTCATCTTTATTTTTGACAATTTTAGGTCTTAGTTTGAAAATTAGAAAACAAAATATATTCACGGATGCTCACACACAACATTCACCTGGCCCGCATAAATACATTGCACGTACATAAACAAATTTGAAAAATCGTACAATCAGATCTTATATTAGTATATACGCAAAAAAAAAACTAGCCCTTAATTGGTTTAGCCGTTTAGGGGTACACCTCAGCTACCCATCCACGCTTTGCTTAGTTTCTATTATGAAGTACATTTGAACAATGATGGTTTACGCAACAAATAAGATGCACATTACTATACGTTGCAACTTTTAAGAAAAGTCAACAATTGCAGTTCAGATTCAAAACGTTCAATGTGTTCTAACAAATTATCGAAATAGCTAGGTATTGCAGATTGCTCAACAAAATATTTCCATCAAGAAAAACTAAAAAGAATATTTATTCTCTCTCTTAACTACTTGAGATCATTATGCCAAAAAAAGGATAGTAGGATCATCATCCATCATACCGTTATAGGTTGATTGGCATTTTTTTTATTGTGACATGTGGCATCTCCTTTCTCTCCAAAAAGCAGAGCAATAACTAATAACCAAAGAGGTGAAAATATGGAATGGGCCTGAGATAAGTTTTTTTTAACTAGTGTTTTGATTGTCACCGCTCCACTATGCTCACAATATATAGGACAACAACATCTAGCAAACCAAGTGCAGTTTTGGCTATATTTTTTTTTGTTGGAACATGTTCGAGTTTGAACTCAATACGAATAATGCTCGCATCTAGGATTGATTATTCTTAATAGTAGATCACGTGCACGTAGATATGTGCCACTTCTAATGACTTTGTGATCAATGTCAAGAACTATTGGTCTATTGGATAAATATTTACATTGACGTTATAGTAGTTTGTGTCGGTGCATGTATATAGGAGCTTCCTTTTAGTAGGGGAATTTTTTTTTCAACCAGTACTGGTAGGAAGTGCGCGTAGAAACAGATTTGCATTTTACATTCAGTATAGGCGTGCACTAATTCACTTTACATTCCATTTTAAGAGCCCTGCTCTTACGCTTGAACTACTTCAGTAATACTTTTCAGCGAACGAACATTGTTTTTCTCTCACAACAAATCAGCATAAGCCATGGATAGCGAACGGGATAGAGTTAAACTTTTTTTTTAACTTTGATCAAGTATATAGAAAATAACATCAATATTTATATCATTAATTAAATTTATATTATAAAAATGAGAACAGCTCCGGTACTCCTCTTTCTAAAAATTGCACACATCTCAAAGCAACTTATCTAACTAATTAATTCTTTTTAATTATTCTTTCTCTTGATTTCCACGTGAGCACAGCCTGTCCAGCCCAGCCCATGTCCAGGTCTAACTCCCAGATCCTTTTTGTTCGGTGGCGCGGCTCCGTTTACTCGTCGAAGGAGACGACGACAGACGCGAACCTCTCGCGCAGTGTGGAGGCGGTGAGCGGCTGCTTCATGTTCCGCTTCAGGCGCCAGCAAAGAAGACATGGAGGGTGTGCACGACGGGACTCCCGGAGCTGCGCTTTGTAGCGGTATCCCCTGGTGCTTGAGACGGAGACTTGATGGCGATGAGCATGGAGCCGGTGCAGGTGCTATAGGCCCAGCTCCGGCCGACATGGTACTGGACATAGACGAAGAGGTGACGGCGAGGAGTGTGTCGGCGCTTATGAAGAAGCAGTTGAAGAAGATGAAAATGACCATATAGCGGCACGCTCATCAAACTGTCGATGCTGAAGCCCGAGACGCTGGACTTGAGCCCGCCGGTGCCGAGCGTGATGAGGTAGAGGCACACGTACCGACATAATAATACAACACGTCCATCTGGAGCCCTGCGGCCTGTCGCATGGCCCAACCGCGCGCGTCGGGTCCGCACCGCGGTGGCCGCAGCTGCCTCACCTCCGCCGACAAATGCAAGGAGCCACTTGCCTTGCGTGCGTGCATGGATCAAGATGAGCTCACGGCATGCCGGAACTAGCTAGCAGCAATCGAGTTTGCATACCGAGAAGGTGAAAGCCAAAAGGAGAGCGTGCGTGGATCACGACTGGACATGAGCTAGGCTTGGATGGGCCGGCCCAAAGAGAAAAATAATTAAAAAAAAATTAATTAGTAAGACAAGTTTGCTTTGAGATCGATGCAGTTTTTAAAAAGAGGAGTATTGGAGCAGTTGCCTATAAAAATATATTCCAATGCCAATCTAGTGATACATGTTACATATTATAAATATGATTAATTTTTATATACAATTGATCAAACTTAGTTTTTTTTTCCGAGAAACGAGATGTGTCGAACAAGAGAGCATGTTCTAGGAGCCTCGCGCCAATGCCACTAGAATCACGAGTCTCGAGCCAATCACCCCAAGACGACGACGACGATGACGATCGCTACAATCGCTTCACAGCGGCTCCGTATAGCGAGGCAGTCGCCGTCGCCGCCGCTATCCGCTACATTATCAGAACGGTCTCTTCAGCGGCGGCAGTGGCGGCGGCTGCTCCACGGTGGAGGTGCGGCGCTGCTGTTGCTGCCCCAGTCCCAACTCGACGTCCGTGAACTCGCCCTCCTCGTGCACTCCTGACGACGACGGTGGCAGCACAGCGGAGGGACGATGCTGGTGCTCAAGCTCGAGGTCGACGACGAACTCGTCCGCCTGGTACCGTTGCGGCATCGGCGGCGGTGACGTTGTTTCCGCGGCCCGGGCGGAGGCGGCAGCGTCGAGCGCGGCGACGCACCGCGACGATGACATGGCGCCTGATCGATCGGTTTGCTGATGCCGCTATGACACTGGACGACGTGACGTGATTACTGGGGTGGTTTGGTTTCGGTGGGCCGCTGCTGATGGCGGGGTGCGTGCGTGTGTATACAGAGAGGCACTGGAGGAGGGCTCCGCGATTCCGGGATGGGCTGCAGGCGGAGTCCAATTCCGATTCCTGCAAATCGGGGGTTCCAGGATTTGGGATGGACGACGCGTTCCTTCGTTTTACAGGGGAATTGAAGCATCCGTAGGCCGTAGGAGTCAGCCTGCCCACTGGGTATTGTTCCCGTAGGCTATTGTTCCCGTAGACCGCGTGCTCCGTGTCTATGTCTATGCTTACTTGGTCATTACCCGAAGCATATCTATATGCTTGAAAGTAGATCGAAAAATACCATATTTTAGATATGAAAAATAGATAAAATTTGAATCATGTTTCACCTATGAACTTATTTTATTTGATGTATTGCTAATAACCTTAATGTGTTATTATGACAATTTCAATTTTTTGTCTCATCTTCTCTAGAAGTGTTGATAGTCTACGGTAGCACAAAAATATTTGGACCGACCCATGCTGATCACTGAACTAATAATAAGGCCACAATCTTTAGGTGAAATATGTTAGTTAAAGCCTGTTTGGATGCTGTCTCCCAGGCAACAATCTGCACCACATGCAGATGAAATCCTACACCTAGGGATTGTTTGAACCTGAGCTGCCTAGGCGACGAGGTGCCTGGAGGCTGCCCGCAACTCATTTGGTTGGAGCCCTAAGATCCTGCCAGGTCCAAGCTAAGCTGTTCAGGTCCAGGCATATATAGGAAAAAGATCGCCTGGGGCAAGGGAAACCCTGCCTGGAGTAATTTGAATGTGATACGCAATTTATTGATCTCCTATGGTCTCACAAAAAACACAACTTGCTGCTGCTCCTGTAATAGTCTAATAGTATTGATTACTTTTCTTTCTTTGAATAGCACGTGGTGCTACTAAAATAACAACTGTAGAAGTGTCTTATCTTTATAGCTCAAAGAATTAAAATATGTTTCTATTTATTTTTAAGGTTTTAAATTAGTACGTAAAAAGAATGTAGTGTTAACATGTATTAAATATTTTCACTGTTCTAGATTTGAATCAAGTCAAAATTTCTTAAGTTTCACTAAATGATAATATTTTGTATAGATTTGGTCAAATGTAAAATTATTTGACTCCTGAAAGATGAGAATTGCATATTTTTAGGACATAGGAGTTTATTTTAAAATTATTAATTTTATTAACCATTATACATTAAGAAAAGGTAATGACATAATACAGGCCGGCTGTTTTTTTGGCCCTTTGCACGGCTACACGCTCCAGCGCCTGACGCCTGCACTGCACACCCAACGCCTTGCACCGTTCATCATCCCCAACGCAACGCACACTATCTGTCCTCCCTCTGGTAGCTACCACCGTCGTCATCTTTCCCAACTCCGACGCCCACACGCCTATGCCCGCATCACCCCCTTCTTCCCCAACTCTTGCGGGCTTAGACGGTGGAAGGCCGACCAGACGGTGGGGATGGTTGGAGGGCGGTTAAGGGCCCTGGCGGCGGTGGAGGCGGCCGGGCCAGGTCAGGGCGGGGGAGCTCCATGGCCATGGCGGAGCTCCGGCGAAGCCCTGGCACGCCCGCGGCGGCGGGAGGGGGCAGCGGCGGGAGCGAGGGTCATTAGAGACGAAGAAGACGACGGCCGCGCGCGCGAGGAGTAGGGTGGGGGGGAGGGAGCCACTGGCCGAAGGCGAGGAGGAAGAGCCGCACGCTGGGGAAGCCAAATCGGAGCGGCCATGTGGCTAGCCTAACGCATGCACTGCCGGTCGTGCGTTAGAAGTGTCCTTAAGAAAATGCACTGATCTATTTTATTTTGCTACCATATGTTTTTTAGGGAAGCTGGCGCACTTTATTGATTTGAAAATAGTGTTACATCGTTCACCAGGGCTTCAAGAACAAAGCTAGGGGGTTCATCGACCCAAATACAAGCATACTTTGACCGAACAGCTAAACTTGCTAAATTATGCTCTACTCTATTAATATCTCTATTACAATGCTTAATAGAAATAGAAGAAAAAACTTGACAAAGCATCTTACGTTCGTCATATATTGACGCGCCAGCTGTTTCCGAGAATCCGCCCTGCTTCCTCGTCTCTACCACCAAGCTATGTTGGGGACGGCCATGGTCCGGTTGGCGTGGTTGCTATGTGATCTTTGGCCCGGCATCTTCAGCATGAGGTAGACATTGTTGGGGATGGCCATGAACTTGGCATAGCATGGCCTCTTGAGTAAGGCGTGGTATGGCCCTTCGAAGTCGACAACCTCGAAGGAGAGTATCTCCTTGCGATAGTGTATCACGTCGCCGAATGTGCGATGGTGCCTAGAGGCATCACGCGTCGGCTAGGCATGATTCCATGGAATGGAGACTGTGAGGCGTGTAGCTCCCCGATGTCGATCTTAAGCCTGTCGAAGGCATCCCTGCAAAGGATGTTAATGCCGTTGCCTCCATCCTTGAGGATTTTCATCATCCTCACGGTATTGATCATCGCGGTGGCTACTAGAGGGAATCGACCGGCTTCGACGACGTGATCGGGGTGGTCACTTTTGTCGAAGGCGATCGGCCTTTCTGACCAACGTAGGTAGAGTGGCATAGCGGGTGCGGCGGTGCAAACGTTCCTGTGCGTCATCCCCTAGCTCCGTCGATCTTCATAGGCGTCGGGTCCTCCGAAGATGAACGTGATGTCGTCGACGTTCGGGAACCCTCCTTGATCATAGCCGTCCCCCTTAGGCCGCTTGCCCTTGTTCGGGTGGTCCCTTTTTGCTGCCTTCTTCTCCTCTTCTTCTGTGAGCCGCTTTCTGTAGGCAATGCAATCTTTGGCGAGGTGGGGTCACCCGAAAACCATGGTTCTAGCATGGCATGATCTTCTCGAACCTGTCTTTGTTGCTTGGCTTCAGCTCGATATTGGACCCAGCCTTGCGTTCCTAAGCCCTATCGGGAGGGGTTTTGATGACTTGACGAAGCCAACGAGCATGAGCCACAGTTGCGTTCCTAAGCCCAATTGAGAACCCAGGTAGGACGTAGTCGATTGCGGTGGTGGATCCGTGTCATTGGTCCGGCGTGGATCTTCCCAGATCTCGAAGGCAGTGTCGAGGAGGTACTGCTGACTAAACTTGGCTAAGGCTTCCTTGGCGTTGAGGTTCATGTGGTGGGCCAAGGCAACCGGCCCTGCCTCCGCAGCTTCTTCGAGATGGAAGAGGAACGTGTTGACGGTGGACGAAAGCTTCTCCTCCCGCGCGGGTGGTTCAGGGTCCTGCAGGTGCTAGTTCCTGAGTTGTTCGGCACCGGAGTTCAAGTTGCCAGAAACGGTCTCGTGGTCTGGTTGCGTCTAGTCGGTGGCGACGTTGAACTCGGCGATGAAGCCCATCTGAAACATAATGAATCTGTACGCAAAACGCCATTACCTAGAGCGCCAACTGTCGGAGGAATTAACTTTGGCAATACCGATCAGCGTATTCACGTATAGGGAATCAGATGGGTATCACACAAGACACATGGATTATACTGGTTTAGGTACATGGTACCCTACATCCAGTTTGAAGTGGATATCTCTGTATTCGTATGCTCGGTTACAGGGGTGCTGATTATAGCTATGCCTAGAATGTAAAGGAAAATAAGATGACGATCAGGGGATCCCTACCCCTCGTTATATAGTCTAGGGGGTAGGGTTACAATAGATCCAATTGGTTAACAGATGTGTTTCCTAGTTTGTTACATGGAAAATACAACATATGGTTTAATCATATCCCACAGATACCGGAATGCCAGCCTGCTACGCTTGATGACTTGATCTCCACGCTTGCTGATACACCTGGTGTTCATGGGGCTCATTCCTCATGATGTTCGGCCCAGTGACCAGGCGTCGGCCAGAATACAGGCCGTGAGGTATCCCGGTCCCACATATCCGACATCGTACTTGTTCCCGACAGGGTCTATCCTTGTAGTGTGGTTGTCGATCCTTGTCACGGGTGTAATCCGATGACCTCAGTTGAGCATGACATGGATAGCAACAGGAGCTTAGGGCCTTAGCATTTGACACAAGTGTGGTATGGGATGCGCTTCATCATCTTCGAGTTTTGGGTGTTAGGTCCTCAGTGTTTGGCAATGATGTGGTATGAGACGTGCTTCGTCAACTATATAGGTTTTGTTGTTCTGGTTTGGTGTACGCTTGCGAAAGTTGTGCTAGTCTCTATGCCAGCCTTGACATCGATAGCGCCTTTGGTCTCTTAAGTGTCCCACATATGTTTCCTGATGCCCAGCCGGTACCACGTCTCAGGCCACTACCATCCTTGGAATCAAAGTATACAATAGAGAAAACCCTAACTGACATCACATTTTTCTCACCACACCCAGCCATGGGCCGCACACTTCTCCCGTCCCTTTCTCCGTCTGTCTGCTTCACCCTGTTCTCTCCCAATTGCCACTCCCCTTCTACCTTCCCATCACCCACTGGGAGATCAAGCAGGAGGCACGACACATCGAGCAGGAGGCATGGCACATCGAGCCGTGCCATGGGTCTGCCCCCTCCTGGCCATGGCGCGTGGGCTCTCCCCTTCCTAGTGGCAGCGTGCGGGCGTGACCCCAGTCCACTTCCAGTGGTGGATGTGAGGTGAAAACGATGTGTGGCAGCCTGACCTGGCCGAGGGCTAGGTGTAGCGGCATGGCCTAGCTTCCTCTCGTCTCAATTTCGCTCACAGGCATGGATGCACCTCTCAACCTCGCTCTTTCCCTCCTCTCAATATCTCTCTCTCCTCATAGGTACATGGTGTGAGGAGGTGACGAGATAGGTGATGAAGCGGCGGGGTGGGGCAAGGAGATGACAACATGATAGGGCAAGGAGGTGGTGGTCCATCACGGTCCACGACACGACGGTGGGCTTGGTGGTGAGTTTGGTACTAGGCTCGACAGCGGGCTCATCGATGGGCTCAATACTAGGCTTGGCCTGGTCATGGTTTTTTTTGTATTTTTACTCGATTTTCATAGACGGGCATGCATTGTCTCTATCATGGACAACAGAGACTTTTTCCCCTCTTGTCATGCATACATCTACGTACACTGAGCACCGCTATTGTACATGCATCATCTAATTAACGCTAGCTGGTCCTCTTGTATCTGTTTCGTCAACTTGAATTTTTCAATCCTCCTCCACACAAGCACCCTACGGCTCTGCCTGCTGCTCGGCCGCTCGCCGACGGCTGCTGTCCTAGGTCGACGTCCACGAGCTCACCCTCCTCGTCACTACATGAAAACGATTTGTAGCAATGGAACAAATTTTTTGTAGGGGCGGCTGGTGATGGAGCCGCCCCTACAGTGGTGTTCTCGGGAGCCCAGAGACCAGCCGCCCCTACAAATGGCACAGTAGGGGCGGCTGGTAATACGAGCCGCCCCTACAAATGCGCCGATTTGTAGGGGCGGCTGGTATACTAGCCGCCACTGCTGTGTCTATTTGTAGGGGCGGCTGAATCACCAGCCGCCCCTAAAAATGCTCTTACGAGTAGCTAACCTGGGCCTGGGCCACGCCGGCCTTTCTGCCCACCCGAGAGGCGCTACAGTGTACTTGCACGCATATAAAACAGAGGGTGCACACTGGCTAGGGTTTGGCACCCGCACTTGCCGCCCCCGGCCTCCTTCCGCACGCGCTCTCTCTCCCTGTGACACCAGCGCCGCCGGCCTCCATGCTCCTCTGTCCGTGAGCTGCAGTGGCGTAGATCGAGGGAGCCGCGTCGAACAGCCAGGCCTAGGAGGCGGTGGCCGCACGGACTAGGTAGGCCGCGTGCGGTGGCGGTGTCTGCGCTGATCCGGGAGACTAGGCCGCGTGGATCTAGCCAGAGACCGCGGGCGGCGGTGGTGGCTATGCGGACTCTGGCCACGAGCCAGCGGCAGAGGCCGCGGGTGGCGGCGAACGCGTGGCTCCGGACACGAGACTGCGGTGGAACCTCACAGGAAGCCGTAGGTGGCGGCGGCCGCACAGGCTTGGATCCGGAGACGGTACCACAACCCTAACTACCAAGCTTGCCGCCGACGCTGCTGCTATTGGTCAGCATTACAAGAGGACGTCTCCGCATCGCCCCTGGAGATCCCGCCATCGAGGGCTCACCCTGACTGGACGTGGAGAGGTATGCGTTTATTCATGCATCTTGATTGGTTAATCTACTAATTGGAGATTTGAGATGGCTGGGTGAGGAATCTGAACGCTCCGTGCATAGTATGCAGTTTCCACTATCATTTTTGCTAACTGGAATTGTTGTATTTGACATAAGTAACTTAGATTGGAAGATCATCAGTAGCATATGTTTATCTGTATAGATGGATGCATTTTCCACCATCATTTTTTCTAACCGGAATTGCTCTATTTGACATAAGTAGCTTAGATTGGAAGATCATCAGTAGCATCTAGCATATGTATATATATCCACGTTGGTGCTTTTGCATGCAAGTATTGATCTGAACTTCTTTAAAGGCTTATTACAGTAATCCTTTATAATCTAGAGCTGTGTTATTGCATTGAACTTCTGAATTTTGATTTTGCAGTTTATACTTACGAAAAATGCTTGTTTGCATCGCAGGCTTGCCTGAGGGAGATCCATGCTTCTATCCTAAGGAAGCATTTACATCGACTGGAGCATCCTGGTGTTGTTGAACAGGATGTGGAATCTGAGAAAGAAGATGATAATAAACTGGAGGATGAGATGCATGAGGATGAAGGTTTACCTTCTTTTCTGATTACTCAATCAACTATGTTTCCAAGATAATGAAGTGATTTCTAATGTATGTTCTATTTGTAGATGATAAGCGATATTCGCCTGAGCCTATACCTCAACACACAGAAAACCAATTTGAAGAGGAAGATGGATCCTTCTCTCCACAGCTAATGCATGGCAATGAAGATGAAGATGCAATTGATCCTGAAGAGGACAAAGCTGAGCTGGTAGAGTCCTGTGTTTCTATTTCTAATAGTATTAATGTAAACATGATTGGAACTGTACTAGTTATTTGCTGCAGTGCAGATTAATCGAGTAGTTTAATTGTCAAGTACAGATTGTTAGTAACTGGACTCCATATTATGCAACAAAAGAGGCTAACTAACAATATTAGGATGAAAAGTTCTACTGATATTTTTTTTCGTTAAGAAGACACCCTTTCAAGCTTCTGCAGGCCTTCCTGCATGTCTTACCCTAAGAGGGGGGCATTGATTCATTTAGATCTTACTTTTGATGGCAATGCTCCTTATGGTGACTTAAATTTGAGGGCTTTCTAGAGTTCATATACAAACACAATGGGTGAAGATTTTTCTTAAGAACATCAAGTTATTAGGGTTTATTTTATGAGTTGATTAGATAATTAGAATGATGTTGGCAACTCATACTTAATGCTTTTAATCATCTCCAGGACCGAAAACGTGAAGCTGTAGTTTTGGAGCATCAAAGGAAAGTTCAGGAAGCCATGAAAGCAAAGGCAAGAGTAACTGATGAAGTATTTGGTGCCGGTGCTAAAGTGAACCTTGATTCACAGGTTTGGATGATTTTCCTTTGACCCCATTGCGTTTTTAGCATGGTAACATGACGATAGTTGTATATCTATATTTTCCAATATTCTGCCTTGATACTGGATCAGCGAGAGAGTTCTCAGAATTCAATTGGGATATGGCGTGACTGTGACAATTTTTTAGTGTTGATCCAGAAGGACCGATGGTTATCTTGCTATAATCTGGACCACAGATAACACACCTTAAGCTAAACAAAAATTTTCAAATAATCTGTTGACTCATGTAATTGTAATTGAGTATATTTTGACAGTTTAATATAGGGGTAATGCCATATTTGAGTTCGATACCATGGGTGGTAACAAGTTTTACACACAAGAAGCGTGATTTAGCAACTTTGGTGCATCCTACCGCATATGAACTCAGCTGGTTTCTGAAGGCATATGCTTGTTCAATATGCTCGCAGGTGTACTGGTGGCATGACAAGTATGGACCAAGAAAGCCCAAGTACTTCAATCGGGTGCACACTGGATATGAATGGAATAAATACAACCAGACTCATTATGACCATGATAACCCACCACCTAAAATTGTTCAAGGCTACAAGTTCAATATATTTTACCCTGATCTTGTGGATAAATCAAAAGCACCATCGTACAGTATAGAGAAAGATGGAAGATCATCAAATTTGAATATATATATATATATATATATATATATATATATATATATATATATATATATATATATATATATACTGGTTGAATTTAAATTATAAATTTGATTTTTTTTGTAGAAAAATGTACCGTAGGGACGGTTCTAGATTAAACCGGCCCTACAATGTAGGGACGGTTGGTGTTACCAGCCGTCTCTACAAATCAATTTGTAAGGACGATCTGAGAACCGCCCCTACAAATACATGATTTGTAGAGACGATATGATAGGAGCGGCTGACCAAGCCGCCTCTACAAATAATCTACAACCGCCCCTACAAATGTTTATTGTAGTAGTGCGTGTACTCCCGGCAGGCAGCGGTTGTGACATCGATCTCGCTCGTTGAGGACGATCGAAGAGTAACAACACCCTCTATTATTTATTAGCGCGTATATAGCTCGATCTATAATTTGCGAGTACGTACGGACGTCGAAGGCTGCAGCTACCTGCCTGATTTGTTGATTATAAATTATTATATAAGATGGCCATATATATAAAGACATGCATCGTAGTCGTAGGGGCCGGGGCGCACGTACGTACGACTCCGATCGCGACAAGCTGCCGGATTACGAAGCGGAGAATGTACGTACGTGACAGAAATTATAATACGAACCACGCAGGGCACCACGCACTACACCACACACTACTGGAAACTCGAATATTTCTGTGGGTGACGAATTTTTGTGCGTTTTTTCGGTACGCACAGAAAAATTACGATTATTCTGTCGGTGTTAAAATATCCTGACAGAAAAATACGAAAACCCACAGAATAATTATAACATTTTTCTGTGCGTGACAATAGACACACGGAAAAATAAAAACTCACAGAAAAATACAATTTATTCTGTCGGTTTTTAAAAAACGCACAGAAAAAAATGCACGCACAGGAAAATATATATGCGCATAACCCTAACCCCGCTGCCGCCGCCCCAAACATCCTCGCACGCACGCACTCGCGCTCCCACTCCCTGCCCCCGCTCCCTCTCACTGCCTCCCACCGGCGGCCGGCCCCGGCCCCTTCCCTCCTCTCCTCCCGCCGGCCCCTCCCCTCCTCTCCTCTCGCCGGCGGCCGGCCCCAGCCCCTCCCCTCCTTGCCCCGCGCCACCCCGGATCGGCCCCGGATCCGCCGCCTCCTCCTCCCGCCGGCGGCCGGCCCCTCCCCTCCTCTCCTCCGGACTCTCTGGGTCTCCCGACGTCGACTCATCCTCGGCTTCTCTCCAAGTCCTCAATCCATCCTCCGGCTGCCCCCTCCCCGCGGCGAAACCGTAGCCCGTTGCCTCGCCGCCGATGCACATTTAGGTATTTTACTGTGTTGTGGAAGATGCACATTTAGGTATTTTACTTTGTTGTGGAAGATCTCGAAGTAGGCTGCGGTCAACTGTTGTCAGCAAACCAAGATGTGAGTTTGTTATTAGTGAATAAGTACATCAGTCTGCAGGTGTTTGGTGCTGAGAGATCCCTCACTTTTTGGGTCTCCAGTTGGCAGCAATTTGGTGCTTGCTGATCAGATGCGTAGGTGATCATCAAGTTCTTGACAGTCATGCAGCGTCATGGTTAGTTCTCAAATCTTATGCCCCATTTCAATTGCTCCGTTCTGAGGACATGTCCCTGATTAGTGTTACATTATGTAGGCTACATTGGTGAGTTCGAATATGTGGATGACCACCGTGCGGGGAAGATTGTGGTGGAACTGAATGGAAGACTAAACAAATGTGGTGTTATTAGCCCTCGCTTTGATGTTGGCGTAAAGGAGATCGAAGAATGGACTGCGAGGCTGCTCCCATCTCGTCAGGTTAGTCCAGTCCGTTGTATATAACACTTGTAGCATTATTTTCCTTTCACAAACCCATTTTAATCTTTTTGGCAGGTTGCATGAAGGATAAAGCAGTTTGTGATGCATAATCCCATATGCAATCATGCTTGCAGCACAGGATATTGCCAGAGATGAAAGGTACTAAGCTGTCTCCACTGTGCTAAAGCACAGTGGTTTCTAAGTTTATTGATGGATTAAATTTACTTTGACATTGCTAAAGCTGTTGGTTGTGGAGTATGCAAATCAAGACCCGAGTTACAAAACTGATTTTTATTGTACAATTCTCTTAGTATGCACTATCATCATTCAAGTTATATCATGGTATGCATATCATCATTCAAGTTATATCATGGTATGCAGAGATAGCACTTGCCTTGATGTTAGTCCTTATTTTTTTTTGTATGCCATTCTTGATAATGGGTAAATTTCTAGAGATGGTCACTGTCTTGTGGTATTTCTTCTGTGAAATTTTGGTAATTATATACTTTCAAATGTGAAATTTCTGGAGATGGTCACTGCCTGCCTGTCATTACTTTTGCACTTGTAGATTTGTAAGTTCTTCCTGTCTCTTGCAGCTGTACTGCTTTGTAAAGGCTAGAAGTAATTATGGGCAGCATTTGTATTATGAAAACTTGAGTATGTGTAAGAACTAAGAAGCTTGTATGCTATGGCCACTGCTTTAGGCTCTTACCATAGTCCCAACACTGCACGGTTTAATACTAATTTTGTTTGCTTGACTGGACTGAGCTGGAACTTTTGTCTTCTTCCGTTTGTAAGTGCTTGGTTGCTCCTCCCATTGGCAGATACCATCTGCCTTCTTTTTGCCCCTGGCATTTCCCCACGTGTCCTGATCTACATTCAAACTCTGCCCATTCCAGTTGCTGGGATGCTCCCAATTGCCATGGCCATCATCAGACTTCTTCTCTCAGGCACCATCACCTCCATCTCCTTTTCTTTTGTCCCATGTATTTTCTGATTTGCCCCATGGGTCATTTTTATTCTGATTTGAATCCACCTGTGATGGAAGGTTTGGATGCCCTACTTGCGGTAATGCATTACTATGTCCTTACAGTTTTTTCTTTATCGAATTTGTGCTTTATCTCAATGCCTTGTAGTAAATATGATGGCAACTGCTTTCAGAAATCTAAGCATTTGGTGAAGCGTGTTGATCCAGAAATGGATGGTAAGTAATGCACTCTTTAACAGGAAGTTAATGCTTGGGGGAAATCTATGATACACACCTTTTTTTTATCCATGCAGGATACCCTCAGGAACAATCCCATTTAACAAACAAATGGTTCAGCTCAAAGTCATCAAAGAAGGTAATACTCATGCAGTCATGTCATCTTCACAATTTTCTTCTGTATGCTCCTAGAATATCGCTCTTGTGAGTATCTATTGCATATCAGCACCAAAGGAACTTTTGAGGAAAATTCTGTTATATCCTCATTAGTGAGCATATGTTGATAGATCAGTTATTTGTCTTTTTACATTAGCAAAAGGAGAAGGCAGCAAGTTTACTTGTTTAGCTTGTGTAAGCTTCTGTAGCTGGTTCACTATTTATTTTAATTGTATCTTGTCTGTTAACGAGCTTGGAAACAATATGATGCATGTAAGTTGTCTAAAAGGAAGCCCACAGTCCACCAAAATGTTTGTAAGACAACATAGCTCTCAGTACTTGTGTTTCTATTATGCATTATTAAGCAAGAGATATTTTTGTACCAATTTTAAGACCTTTCCCTATATAAAGAAATGCTGTCACTTGACCCTAGTTTTGTCAATGACACATTTATCATTATTGCTGATCTTTCCTTTTATGGTGTTATATGTAAACAGATACATCTGACTGCTGTTACTTCTGTCATTGATGGCTTGAAAAAACTTTATATCGAAAAGTTAAAGCCTTTGGAAGTTACATACAAGTTCAATGATTTCGTCTCTCCTTTGCTGGTGCATACTGTATTCCCATTTTCTGGATACTTTAGGAAACAAAAATGACTACTTTCCCGTGTAATCATTGTAGTATTCATGTTGACTGTTCTTACAGGTAGAGATGGAGTGCAAGGTGAAGCAGTTTACAATTGGTTGAACAAGAAAAAATAGTTTGGTTTCTTTTTCGATATCCATATTTGTGAATTCATTGTAGTATTCATGTTGAACATATAGATGACCAGATATCATATCTGTATATATGATATATGTGCTGATAGATCAGACTGATTCTATTTTTGACATAAGTGTTGACTCCATTCATGATGAACTACTGATTTGTGTATTATTTGAATGAAACCTTGTTGGTCATGCACATAAATTACTGTATGGAAAATATATATTTTAATATGCTGTTGCTACTGTTTTAAAATATTTTTTTTGTGTGTTTAACACTTTTTTTCTTTGAGGCTGGCTGCAAAGAAATATTATTTTTAATCTGGGTGAAATGAATTTTTCTGTGAGTTTACCTAGACCGATAGAAAAAAAAACGTGTGTTTTTCTGTGCGTTTATTTCTTTTTTCTGTGTGGATTAACACATAGAAAAATTAGTTTTAATCTGGACGAATACAATTTTTCTGTGCGTGTGAGACCCACAGAAAAATTGTTTCTGACGGTGAACCCACAAAAAAATTTGAGTTTTCTGTCATTATATTTCTGTGGGTATTTTTCTGAGGGTACACCGCCAGAAAAATATTTTTCTGACGGTATCTGTATTTTTCCATGGGTTTTTGCATGCACAGAAAAATACGAGATTCCAGTAGTGACGGGACAGATATACAAATTAAGTCGGCGCCTTATTATTATTATTATTGTTATTATTATCTTGTGAGTTCCTAGTGGATATGATTTCGACATGTGGCGGATCGGATGGGAGGAGCTCGACTATCTCTGAGCCCCACCCGAGGCCAAGACCACGCGGTGCGCTGCCAGCGAAAACGCAACCCCGGCCAGTCCCCGGTACGGTTGACGCGGTTCGGTACCAACAAGCAGTATACATACAGTAATTAATTCAGGCCAAATAATCACAGTGCTGGGCCTGGACGTCGAGGTGGCTGAGTAGTCTAATTATGCTCGGCGCATGCAACAACGCAGCACAACACATACGTTCAGTTCTTCAAGCACACTGCGCAAACAGATCTTAATTAAATGAGCTAGATGCCACGAGTAATTAAGCATACCAGTGAAAGAAAGTGTGGCTACGACAAGGAAAATACACAAATTAACTAAGAAAGCGCAAAACCTCAATGATGTTTGTGGAAAGCAATGTTCTTGTTCTTGAGGTCGTGAGGTCATTGCATTATTCATCTTTTGCTTGTCGGAGCTCTTTATGTGTTTTCCTTCGCCTCAAGGCGCTCCACTTCAGTCCTTCCATGATCTTCTTTTCCTAGGGGGCCTTTGCTTGCTATCTTGTTCGATAGCCTTCGTGACACCGCGCATGGAACAAACGTGTACCGTCCACAGGGAGGAGAATAAAGACTAGGGGATCGGACGTGATTAGCCTGATGCATGGTGACAGGGATCCATAACGTAATGTATGTGATGTGAGTCAGCATTACCCACAGATGCAGCAGTTTCTTTTCATTAGAATATGTTAACAATACGGAGAACTGCTCCGGTACTCCTCCTCCTAAAAGTTGCACACATCTCGAAGCAGCCTATTAAATGATTATAAACATTTTCTGTACCTGGATCATGTTTAGGCCCAGCCCATCCAACCCAGTCCTCAGTCCATACCTCTACCCAAACCTAAAGTGTCGGGTCTCCCATCCCCTCTGTTCTGTACTGCTCCGCTTACTTGGACCCGTTCAAGGAGACGGCGCCGCTGTGCCGATTATTCCGGAGCATCAGCAACCGGCGAACCGAGCGAAAGGCGGCACCTCCATCCTCCTCCTCCAACCCCGTTTCGTCGTGTGCTGGCAGCCGGCAAGGAGCTCCGAAGGCGCCGTTCGATTTGGCGTGAGGAGGTCCGATGCCACCATCCACATCGTCCTTGACCGGGGTGCCGTCCTCTAACTGGTGGCGCCTGAGAGTTCAGGCTTCCAAAACTACATTTGCATTTTTGGTCTCCGCTTAAACATTATTTTAAATATTAACACTTAATCGAATCTCTAATAGTGTCAGCTTACACTTATTCAGTTCGGTACAGAACTACAAATGTTAAAGGATTGCGTATATTTGACAGATTGTATGCCTCTTTCAGGCAATTGCACTGCATTAAGAAATTTTTTTATGCCTGACGAACGAACATGAACATGTGCTGGCAATTCTAGTTTGGCGATCATCTGCGTGGGGCCAAATCTCGCTCACTTCCTCAACATACAAATAAGTTGCCTCTTAGGATCTGTACACGAGTTGCGAGGATCACAGACGGAGGAACTGGAGGAGTTTGCCGTCGAGTCCGCTCATCGTAGTCGTCTCCTTCAACGAATCCACGTGTAAACGGAGAACCACGGAACAGACGGGATGGGGACCTGACTTTAGCTTTGGGTTAGGGCTGGACTCAAGCGTTACCCAAACAAAAAAATATTAAGAAAATATTTAATTAGTTTAATAGACTGCTTTGAGATGCATACAATTTTTAGAAAGAGGAGTACTGGAACAGTTGCCCGTGTTAAAAGAGATTTTTTTTATTTTTAACACTTTTTTTAAACAAATTTTAAATCTAACATTGTTTATTTTTTTTTCCAAAACTAGCAGTTTTGGCCGCGCTCTTTCCCTGGCGCGGCGAAACACCTGCGCCGCGCCATGCATGGTGGCGCGGCGAGGGGATGACATGAAGACGACCGGGGCGTTGACCAGTGACGTGGCAGGTTCTGCCACCCATCCCTAACAGCGCGGCAGTCCTAGGTAAATATCATCCGCGAGCCACCTCCTCTATCTCGCCTGCCTGCCGCGCCAAGACACTCCCGCCCGCCCCAACAGCACGCTGCTTTGTGCGGCAGCGCCATGAATGTCGGGCCACACGGCCGCCTGCCCCCGCCACACGCCAAGACGCCGACCGGCCATCTCCTTGGCTTGGGTGACCCTAAAAGGTCCTGCTCATATCAAGGTAGCTCCCTCTCTCGATTTCTTGTTATTATGAATGTTATTTTAGTTAGGGTTAGTGATTTAGGATAGTTAGGTTAGTGAATTTGTTTATTTAGGTAGGTAGTTTTTAGGGTTTAGGTTTTGTGTTGTAGTATAGTTAAGGTTTGGTTAGATAGTTAGGGTTTAGGTTATTGTTAGTTAGGATTTTGGGTTTAGGGATTGATTAGGTATTTATTATTTAGTTAGTTTATAGTAGTAAAGGTTGTCAGTATAGATACTAGTTTTTAAGTGTCGGTACTCAGTAGTGTGTGATACGGCGATTTGGATGACTTGATGAAGTTTCGTCAAATGCTTATTTTTCTAGTAAAGTTGTTTAATATGTCTGTTAATATTACTTTGAATATATACATGTTCTTTCATATTGTGTTCGTATTGCATAACAAGTATTTCAAATTTTGTAATGCTACGTAATGTTAATTTAAATATTGTTAATTTGAATACTCTAACCCTTTAATTATCAGTTTGTAACAGGATGGCCCCTCCCATGCAGCACTAGTTGTACCCCCTTCTTGAGGTGGAGTACGACAACCCGCACCGAGCACACTTCTTGATTGACACCGACGCAGAGGTGCCCTTGCCTCCTTTGAGGTCCCGCACGCACACCAGGGCGCACCAGTGGAATGAGTGTTACGCGCCGTACATACGGCATGCCGGCTTCCTCGAGCTTGTCCGTGTTGTCAACAACGGTCTTCCGCCCCTTGACCCAGCACTATTTACTGCAGCTATAGACAGGTGCGAGTGCCTTCATTGTACGTAAACATTGTTATAACAAATTTGAGGCAACTGCCAGTCGTTCTATTCTTATAACAGGTGGAGGCCTGAGACCCACACGTTCCACCTACCTTGCGGCGAGATGACCTTGACCATGCAGGACATGAAGGCTATCTTTGGCCTTCAGTTGGGGGAACTTCCAGTGACAGGTATAGTTGACAACGATCACTGGAGGGAGCTGGTGGCTCAGTTCACTGGCTTTTTTTCACTGGACGACGAGGTTTCCAAGAAAAATAAGTGAGCAATCCAAGCCTATTTAATACTTGCATTGCTTTCTTGCAGCCATCGGGTCTTATTTTCTTTGGTGAATTTCTAAAAAAGTTCTGGTGCTTCGTTGTGGTGGATCACAGAGCGCTTTGATTACTTAGACCCATAGGCTGATGAGGCTTAGATCAATAAGTTCGCTAGAGTGTGGCTCTGGCACTTCCCTGGTACTTTCCTATTCTCAGACGCCTTGGCCAACACCATCAGCTTGATCTTTCTTGACATACTACGCCAGCCGTGGGATAACATAGGAGCATACAGCTGGGGCAGCGCAGTCCTGACATGGACGTATCGACAACTATGTGTTGCCTACCGTCGCACCTCAGGGTATGCGAACCTTGGGGGTTGCTCCTACCTACTCCAGGTTTGGTGTTGAGAACGATGGCCCGTTGGGAGGCCCCTTGTTACTGGTTTAGCGAAAAGTACTTCGTTTCACTATATTCTTCGAGGCAATTACATATGATGAAATTATTAATGGCTAATTCATTATCGTGTTCAATGCAGCGTTGGAACGGGCAGGATACACTCCCTATAGCTCTGTATATCTGAACGCAAGTAGAGTTAGTTAGAGGGAATGCGAGGTGCAAGTACAGGGAGTACATGGACTGTCTCGATGTCCTAACACAACACCAGGTTACACTCTCTTTACTATCATACATGTATCTTGTTCGATGTACACTATATCACAACCTAACTCAATTACGAAATGTTCAGGTGCATTGGTGTCCTTGGGATGCTCCGGAGCTCCAGTACTATATGAGTCCTGTCACTAGGGATGAGTCAGACGAGTATCGCTGCAACGTCCCTCTTATTTACTTCCACGTGGTCGAGATTCACTTGCCCATCAGGGTTTGTAGGCAGTTTGGAAGAATGACAGGCTACTCACCACCGCTTTACTCCACCAACCAAGAATTGCACGGGTGCGTTATCGATTAATAACAAAGCTACAATAAAGAGGTGTGTATGGTAAAACTA